AGGGAGTGGGTCACCCTGAAGAGGGAGGCCGGGCGGTTATCTGATGACGCAATGAGGGTGGAGTAGTAATTAGACCTCGCCACCCTCATCGCCACGAGGTAGGATCTAACATGTATCCTTACCTGTGTTCGGTCGGATTCGGTTCGGGTGACCCTCCAACTGCTCTCTAGGCGTCTTTTCCGGCGTTTCATCTCTCTCAACCCCTCGGTAAACCAAGGGGCCAGTTGAGATCTATGCCGGGTCAGAGGCCGCAGCGGCACGACTCGGTCCAGTGCTGCGGCTGCGGCCACATCCCAGGCCGCAGCCTGATGTTCCGCCGAGTCGTGACCCAGCTCCTCAGGATATGGCCCAAGGTCATTCCTTCTACTCTATTCCCCAAGGTCATTCCTTCTAACCATTAGATGTCTCCTTTCAATAAACATTTGCAACCCTGCGCGTGACTATCAGTTTCAGTAATGTCTGTAAAGGCCTTCACTATAAAAGAGAATTCTCAAACTAACTTGTGCAAAATCCCTTGGCATATCCCCCTTTCCAGCATTCAGTGTTGACCCGGAAGTTTGTGGATGTTATGACGACGTATAACGGAACTCAAACCGTCTTCCGGGAACGCACGAAAGACCAGATACGGCGCCAGTTGGAAATAAGTGAGCGATCCTTCCTTGCTAATTTTTTTCCTACTCTGAAGAACCTGCCCAGTCTCAAAAATGTGTTCTAGCAAAAATATAATGCAAGGGAAAGGGGGATGATGACGTATCTTGAAAGAACACAATCTCTTGTCATTTTTCTCTAGCTGGAAAAACCACCACAGACGAAGAATTGGAAGACATGTTGGAAAGCGGCAATCTGTCCATTTTCACTTCAGACGTACGTATTTCCAATCTGCATTTGCTGGCTTCAACATGGATTTTATCTTTTGGGTCTAAAGCAGAGCACCCCAACCTTTTGGGCACCAGGGACCGGTTACGTGGAGAGAGGTTTTTCTGTGGACCGCAGGGAGTGTGGTTTTGTGTGCTGCCTGCATCCCACAGATGGGGCTTTGCTTGCTTGTGCAGACGGGTTGCTGGCAGGCCGCAGCCCAGTACCGGTCCACAGACCGGGGGGTTGGGGACCCCTGGTCTAAAGGACCTTTGAGCAATACAAGCAAATTGAATTAAAATCCAAAGATCTACAAATTCTGTTCTATCAAAGGAAAATCAATAAGTGTACTTATTTCGTGTCTGTTCCTTCCTCTGACATCGCAAAGATAATTTTGGACACCAAACTGACCAGAGCAGCCCTTGATGAAATTGAGTCACGTCATAAAGATATTATAAAACTGGAATCGAGCATACAGGAGTTGCATGAAATGTTTATGGACATGGCGATGCTCGTGGAGGTTCAGGTGAGTCTGTAAATCCCATGGTATAATGTGGATGGTACTTTGTAGGCGGGAGAGTGCTGGAATAATAACTCTTGTTATTAAAAGCTTGGCCTCGCCACGCAGGAAGTGGCCTTGTAAGAGGGTAGAATCCCAGTTCTAAGCAAATCGACCAGCTTAGTAGCTATGGAGATCACATATAAAATAGGATATACTGGTTTGGCACTCTTCCCTGTTGGGTATTCAGTAGGAAACAATAATAGCTGGTAATTTTAGTAAAAGACCTTGAATCATGTACACGGTGTGCACATCACATTTATGACACGTGTTATTTGTGAAACATTGGTGCAAAACAATTCTACCTATAATCTTATCTCTCTGTCTCTCTCTCCATCAATCCATCAATCTCCATCCGTATCTATCTGTCTGTCTGTCTGTCTGTCTGTCTATCATCCATCCATCCATCCATCCATCCATCCATCTATCCATCTACCCAGCCAGCTAACCAGCCAGCCATCGCCTGCAGTTGTCCTTCTGTCTCTCTATATTTCTATATCTATATATCTCATCTCTGTCTCATCTCTCTCTCTCTCTCTTTCTATCTCTATCCATCTATCTGATTTCCCCACAGTTGAGTCCAACTGTCTATATCTATATCTGATCTTCTGTCTCATCTCTCTCTGTATGTGTGTCTATATCTATCCATCCATCCATCCATCTATCTGATTTGCCCACAGTTGAGTCCTATATATCTATGTATCTATATATCTATCTGATCTCTCTCTCATCTCTGTGTGTGTGTCTATAGCTATCTATCTATCTATCTATCTATCTATCTATCTATCTATCTATCTATCTATCTATCTATCTATCTATCTATC